AACAATCTTTGCTCTTCTATATCTCAGGGTTGTTCTCAGGGTTGATGTAGGGTAAGATGCTCTAGAACAAAGGTGCGTCACGAAAACAACGCGGTAGGTAGACAGATGCTCCCACCGCTGCTGTGTGCCTGCCGTACCCGCCGTGGCAATACCTGGATCTTTCGCAGCTCCCGCTCCTTGGCCTCTACCGCCTCCAGGCTGCTCCGCTGCTCGAGCTTGAGAGAGTTCATCTCCTCATTCATCGTGTCCTCCTGTGACGACCAAAATTTTGCGCGGAATTCACTCTTTCCGTCGAAAATTCATTCGATGAGCAGTTCATCTTCGTGGTCATGACTATGACAGCTGTACACACATGTACCGTACCTCTAATCTCGCGAGGCACAAACCCCCGAACAAAACTGGGTGCTGAGCGCGGGGGGGGGCGGCGGGGCGGGCGGGGGCGGTACAGCCGTGAGGGATGCGTTTGGGCGAAAATATGTCTATCCTAGTTACTGATTTACACAGGTTAAACTTGTTTCTCTTCTCGCTTGCTCTCCTGAAAATCTCCGTCTCTTGGCGAAGCAGGTTTCAAGTTCCCTGGCGTTTAAAATCAGGCCGGACTCTCGTACTACGCAGAACTGGCGCTTCGGCCCGACCCTCGGCTAGAGTCTGCGAGCGCCGGCCGTCTGCTACCATGAACCCTACGGCTTACGCCTACTGCTGTGCAGCGGTCTTTACAGAACGCTCGTTATTCTGGGCGTCGACGACACGATGCACGTGAACAAAAAAAGGTGTGTTTGCGGCAGCATTTGAACGCGCCTTGCCCTAGGCACACGCCAACCGTACCACGTATGATCATACCATAACTTTCAATCATACCACGTATGATCACACCATAACTTTCAATCGTACCACGTATGATCGCACCATAAATTTCAATCGCACCACGCATCATTATGCCATCAAGTTCAATCGTACCACGTATCATAACACCATAAATTCAATAATACCACGTATGATCATACCACGTATTTTAATCGTACCACGTACCATCATACCATAAACGTCAGCATGTAGCAAGACAACCATTCTTCCAAGCTCGATATCTCTGCAGCAGGAGAGAGAAAGCATGCGCAAGTCGGACCAATAGGTCATTTTGTTGGTATCCAAGACACCCATATAAACGCCGAGGGCCAGCTCTCCCTCTCATAACAAGCACCGCCAATCCATGTTCACGCCCCCCCGATGGTCGAGGTACCACAACGGCCGAAATTCTAAAGAGGCATGTCTCGCAACGTGCGGCGGCAACTATTCGCACACAGCACAGCTTACGTGTGCCTTCCTATCTTACGTTTTGGTGCCTAGTAGTCTTGGCATCGTTGAGTGTCGTATGCTATTAGCCAACGGCAGGGCAACCACAACATGGGACGGTACAAGTCTTGCTACGCACAGACCAAGAGCATGCACACGCGCGCACCATAAACAGCACCTGTACTCTGCCCATTCTAAAATATCGGTATTCCGCTCTGATGTTCCTCGAGCGCCACCTACTGTGCCATCTTCGTATCAGCACATGATGCCTCCAAAGGCGCAACAGGAACAGCAGCAATGCCGTGAGGATCCTCGGGCAAGTCCTTCGCTGTGACGTGCTTGATCGAACTTCCTCTGTGCTTCTGCACAAACCGCTGTCGTACTCAACGGTACAGCAGTGGGTGGCCTCTGGGACGTGTCACACCAATTTCACCGCGATTACTACGGGCACGTGGTACTACTCAACCGGCACTACCAAGGGCCCGCACTGTTGCATTTGCCCGGGTCTCGTCCTTTCCTGCTGAGTTCTACAGCAACACCGTCCTCAAAACAATAGAACCCTTTGGAACGGAACGGTGCCCATACCTCTGATCGGTTCTTGGCTATGACGTCGTTGAGGGCCTTCTGAGCCTTGTCTAGAGTCGCCTGCAGCGATTCCTCGAAGCTCGCCACGTCGGACGAGGTGTAGAGCGTAGCAGATGCTGACGGGGGGTAATACCAAGCACGTAATAGAGTATGAGAAAACCACAGCAGCAGCAGCAGCAGCAGCAGCAGCAGCAGCAGCAATGAGGGAAGAGAGCCCATGTGTTGGGATAGCGGTTTCGCCGTGCATGGCCATAGTCTTCACATTACTCAGATTATACACCAACGCTTTCGGGGGGGGGG